AATTAAAATTTCTGTTCCGAATTCTCATTTGCCCACCCCTACTATTTTCATTGATTATATAATAAATACGTAAATATATAAATTGAGAATACTAGCTATAAGATGATGGATTATCCATAACCAGGCCCGAACCATCCGCTTCTAGCTCCGACGAAAAAGACATATTTTTTTTTTTTGCTAAAAGATAAATATTTCATTAGAAAATGAATATATTTTGGTTTTACAAACAGAATTTATAAAACCTAGACTATGAATTCACGACAAAAAATATAAAACATGGAAACATAAGACATGGAAAGTTTTCAGTCCACCTGCTCGACATTACCCCGCGGGATAATGGAGGTAGGCGAAGTGATATCGATGCAAATTGTTCATCGAAAAACTGTTGAAGGAGTGGGGAGACGAAGCAAACCACAGACATCAGTCGAACAAGCCAATTGCCAAAGAAGCCTTTCAAAGGAGGTTCTAGCAATATGTTGTCAACGGCAAGGACCTCAAGAACTCGATCACATACGCCCCTTGCGTCATGTGAGAGTGGCAAAAAGCACAAGAACCATGAGCTAGCATGAAGTAGAAACCACACAAACCCAAACGCGAACGGCGAGAGCTCACCCTCCCAAGAACAGACCATGGGTCTCGAAAAAGGCAAGTACATAGCTAAACAGAACACAGATTACGTCACCGAACACAAAGGTCTTACTATTCCTCTAAGGAACCCAGCTAACTGAACCGAACCCCTACACTATGCCTAGCCTACGACTACAACACAACAATAAACAAGGATGACAAAATCTACAACAAGGCCTAACTAGCCGATAAACCTGATGACACGCAGAAGTCGCCCAGGGAAACAATTGATAGCTTCCACCGGAAGCCGACAGTAACTAGAGCCACACCAACAAGGGACCAGAGTCAATTCAGGAAACACCATCGACAAAACCTCACACACTTGGGGATCACTTACCACACAAAGGAGAGTTCTTCTGCTGTCCACAGAGAGAGACCACACCATTGGGGCGCCAATTCCATGAGCCACATCATCGAATGGAGAAGCCAGAATCAGCCAAGAATCCAGGAATAACAACAAGTCTAGGAGGGCAGAGACTAAGTGAACGGGAATCTGTAAGATCTGCAACCCTCGAAGACAACAATCGATCTTCATGATGGAGACAGAGGCGTCTCACCACCGGGACTAAAACCGACCCGAATCGGTAAAGCCCTACAGAGAAGAGCCGGACCACCAGGGGAAAAACGAAGCACGGCAGAGCCTCCAAGAAGGATTGCGAAAACCACAATGGCCGGAGAAGTTTTAGGTCGGCGAACGGACATCGCTCCGGACCCGAATTAGCCCAGCTCCGACACCAAAATCGCTTGGGAGGGACTTAGATCGAAGAATCTACGCCGGACAGGATATGAGAGACGGGTAAAAGGCTCAAGCTATTCTCAACCGACGATGCTTTGCAACCGTCTAGCAAAGGAGCCGCGACGGAGAGAACCTCTTTCAGATGCGGCCTTCTCATACGGTGTGTCACTAACCCACTCGCCATAATTGAATAAAACTATGTATATGACCATATTAAATCAGTTTATCTTTGTATTTATAATATTTTACCGTCAAACTAAATCTCAAAAATAAATAAAATACAACTTTGAGATACTTTTCTAGTTTTATTGAATGGATTCCATTTTCTTATAATCCTGTACTGATATTGTACATTTAAATTGGCACAACCACGCAATAAACATACGGTTATAGTCATTAATTTGCTAAAAGAAAAAAATTAAGGGCCATTGTAATCCATTAATTTGCCTAATTTCCACACATAATTTGGCATTTTGGCTACACACATTAACACACACTTATACTCCTAATAGTGAAACATTTATTTAGCTTAATTTTGACCTTCTCAACAGGTCAACTATTTCCTAATTCTTATAGGCCATTATTGACTTTTGCATGGGAGAATAAATATGTACACCAGTTTTGTTACTAATTAACTCACACTTATACATAATAGTAAATTTTTGTTTCACTAAAGTCTCCATCACATTAATCGTATAAATGATATAAAACAATGCTTTAGTGGTGGAATAGCATCATCAGATATTCCACTCATATCTTTGCATCACCTTTCACGTTTGAGCCAACAAGCCAATGGCATTAGATTCTCCAAATTTTCAATATGCACATATTCAATAAACTAACTAGTAACCAGTAATATCAATCTCTTAACAAATGTAGACTCTCTTTTGTGGTTCTACACCTTTCTATGAATAACCCCATATATAGGAACTTCATGGTCTTGATAGAAAATCTCTCTAGCTTATTTTGTCGGGACTTATATATGAATGAAGCATATCATAGGTTCTTCTCTAATAGTCTCTCAATGGATGAAACTACTAACACTTACCTTTCATGCTCTCTTTCTAATATCTATCTCTCTTCCTTTGTACCTCTATAAAATGCAAGCATTAAGCATTTCATGAGCTCCATTCTTCTTTAATTATCTATGCAAAGAAGAATGAAATGAATAGAAATGGGCATATAAAAGGAGTGACCAAAGGGAGGAAGAAAAAAATATTGGTGAGTGTGAATGTTCTTGGAAGTGTTGGTCCTTTAAGGTTTTTGGCTAACGAAGATGATGAAGTTTCAAGTGTTATTAACACCACTTTGAAAGCCTATGCTCGTCAAGGCAGGATCCCAGTTCTAGGGTTTAACGTTGATAACTTCATTCTCTACTCCATTCACGCCGGATTCAACAGTATTTTACATAAAACTCTCTTTACCATGCTTTAATTCTGTTCCTTTAGTCTGAACTTTAGTCATGGAATTTATCTAATTATCTGATTATAGGAAAATCACGTGAATTGTTTGCATGTTTTTGACGTTGTGTACATGTTCAAATTATAGTATGAACTTATAGAGAGTCATTCGACTCTTTTAAAATCATTGCTTTGGTGTTAGCTTTGAATCCACAAGAGAAGATGGGTTCAATGGAAGTAACAAAGTTCTTGTTATGCAACAAAGAGCCACGACCACTAGAAAAAGACGAAGGAAGAAGAGAGAGTAAAACACGGGCAGGCCATGGATGGAAAACTCTTCTTCGGTCCTTATTAGGATCATTTTTATACAAACACAAATCTAAACCTTTACAAAATACAAACCCTAAATAGTACATCATCTGATCGATGACCTTTATGTATAAGTAAACGACGCTTATTGTATCCTGATAAGGAAGTATGCTAAAACAAAGACAATAGATCGGCTGATCTAAAAAACTTACAGTTTTACGTGGTATCTTAAAATTTTTGAATTTTCTCGATCATTTCTCGATCTTATTAAAAAATATATGTTAAAACAATCCACAAGTATATGTGCTTTGTATCATTTCTCGATCTTATTGTTTGTGGAAACTCTAGACTATCATCTCGCATTATTTGGTCAACAGTCTAAACTATCATGGCCATTGTAAAGACCATGGCCATGCATTGTAAATCATGGCCATTCCTTAGCTTTTGGTGGCCTAAAACATACTAAAAATATATTGCGTTCTATAAAAATAATAATAATACATATC